AACACCCCTCCTCCTGTTTCACTTCCTTAACCGGGGGGAGATTTGTGGGTGTGACGCATTATTTTCACCCTACCCAGGATTTCAAATAAAAATAAGTATAAGATCATAGTGAATGATGTTGCCTGATTGAAATGTGATTACAGATATGTGACCAGCATGACTCCTAACTCCTGCAGCCAACAGAGCTATTTTGCTGCTTTTTCTCAAGATATATTAATAGGCTTATCAGCTATTTTAGTCTGTATGTCTGTTTTTAATAACAACACTATTTAACTCTAAAATTTCTCAATCATTGCCTATGATATTCCTGGAATAACCTATGTAATTTGGTTATAATTATACAGAACAAAGAGACAGCATAGAATTTGTACATTTCCAATTAACTAATTTCAATTAACTGCTAGTGTAATCTAAAGAATATTTTAGTTAGTGCAAAGCAGCTCAAAAGATGCTAAAGTTTGTCTACTGATAAGCATACAATTACACATACATACAAATTTAAAAATATATAAAATTTGTAGATTTTAATTAGAGCTTTTCTTACCGGTGTTTTTTATAAAAAATATATTGTTTTAATTCATATCTAGCTGTATCAATTAACTTAACCTGATAGCGACTGAAACCAGAGGCTGCTGGGAGGGGAGAAAGATTGGCAAGATTTCCTTTGTGTGCAATTAGTGCAATGAACTTTAATGTAGTAGTGCAAAACAGGCCTCATGTACATGGCTAAAAAAATATCCCTTGCTTTTCATTTTAGTAGCTGGGGTTACTGCTGTGGAATGGACTATTTTGCTGCGTCTTTATTCATACTGTTCACTGTTTTTAACGGTAAAGGGAATATTTGTGGCCTGTAACGTCAATCACGCTTTTTTTAATCAGTTTGTTTATAAACTGAAACCTGAGGAGGAGCAATGAGTTTGGCTTGGAGTCAGCACAGAGCAGCACAGAGGTCTGGGTGTTTCTTTCAGGGCAGAGCTAAAGCTGATGGGATTGGTATGAGGGGACTACACTTACGAGTCTAACATCTCACCTTTTCACACCCAACAATAAACTCACAGGACAGTATGAAAGAAAAAAAATAGAAGAAAGACAAATAAACCAAGGTAAACAAACAAAAATGAACACGGCAAAAATCGAAGGACAGATTTTTGAGAGAATTTTAGAGCAGGCACGGCTGACTTGTAACAAGCAATTTGACACAGACACACACTCACAACTTGTAAATAATGACATATATCACATTTACTGACTGCACTGAAAGCTCAAGCACTCCTTCACCAGCCTCTAAAGACAACAACTCACCTGCTATCCGTGTCCAAACCCACGAAGTCCTTCTTCTCAAAGGGCACACAGAGCAGTGGTATCTTGTCACCTGATTTGTCCGTGGCCCGGTCAAGTCGCTTGGACTCCAGAACAATAAATATCGACTCCACAAAGTCCTCCACTCTCTTCTCCACATCAGAGCAGTCTTCAAAGCTGGGGTAGAAGGCCATGTCTGTGCGCTGTTGCTCTGCAATATCTCCCTGCAGCCCAAACACCAGCAACCGCGAATCATACAGCGTGGAACTGTACACCTCCTTCTGGCCATGGAAGCGCTCTGCAGTCTGGGGCCACTCCTTGGTCGAGCCACAGGTTGTGATGGCGATGAGGCCCACCACCTTGCGGTGTGTCTGGAAGTCTCCCCACTCATTGTTTTCAGGCAGGTAGTGGTGGCGGTAGCGGATGTAGAGGAGGCGCTGTGAGTCCCTGATGCTCACCTGGCTCACGCTGGCAATGCGTTTGTAGATCTTGAAGAACTGGTCCTCAGCTACGATGCCGACCGGCTGGACCACCACTAGCACTGTCTGGTGGTCCTCTGCACATTGCATGTAGTCTGGGACGCTCATCTTCACATGCAACTTCATGGGCCAGAGAAACAAAAATATTTAATAGAGTTGAACATATTTCCACTTTTTTTGTTTCACCAGTTAACTTACTTCTTATGACAACACACAATTATCCAGAGTAAGCAAGACCTCCAATGAAATTTCATTCATCACCATTGTAGGGTTAAAACCTAAACACAAACTATCTGATGGATAGATACTTGGACTAGGTGAGAAGATTATTTACGTGAGTGCACGAATCTGTAACGACGATATCACGAAACATCAGAAATGTACTAATTTAATACATCAAGTGACAAACCAAAAGGTGCATGGCCTAAATAAGAAAGGTTTTTTGTGTCATCAACAACAAGTATCATTTATATAGACGGGACAATATATTTGTGACTAGGTTATTTAGATGTTTTATTTTATGAATATTCTCTGTTAGGCTAACAACCATTATCTGTGTTTGTGTTCAGAGTGACGTGTTACTCCAACACAGCCCCTGAAGGTTTGAATGAAAAAGTGCTGTTTGGAGTAACTGGAGTATACAGGGTAGAAAACTACATCCCAGCGAAACATAAATAGTCCAAAAATACGTGTTTCTAATTAAATGAAACGTTAACGTACCTTTGGCAAAAAGCAAAGCAACACCTGCTGGTGTTTTGGCTAACATAAACACCACTCAGAGGCAGCTGACAGGATTATTACAGTGGCCAAATGTGACGACCACGGGACATGTTAATAAAACAGAAGCCCTCCTGTCATTAACTTGTATTTCGTTCATTTAATATGAAGAAAAATAGCTTACGTTAAGCTATATTGTGGTCTCAAAACACTTGGGTCAGCTAGCTTAGCCTAGCTAGCTAACATACGAATTGTCACACAGTAACAACGCTGACTGAAACAACCAGGCCATGAATGACAATATCAGCTCAGTAAGCGTTTTAATCTTTCACAACAATGCCTTTGCTATATAATGTTAACTCACGTTACCTTAGCAGTAGCCTGTCAAGTTTTACAGCTTCCTTCTTTGGACCCGTGTTGTGTGACACTCAATCAAAAACAGCGAAACTTCCGGTGACCATTTTCACAATAAAACCGTATCAAGACTAGTAAATACAGCTCAAAGATATGAGCTTATTTTAATGTAATATGTGAACTGATCAATTAATATCTCTACCTGCGTTGTCATCTTGTGAACATTATACTTTTCCAGTTTCCTGCATCAACCCAATCTAATTCCTAATCTTAACTAATTCTCTGTGGAATAAGCATATTAGACGAGCGTAGAGGACGGATATAGGAAAATACTGTGTAGTCGTTGACATTAGTAGAGTTTGATGATGAGAATATGCTACATTGCTAAACGTGCCACGAGTGCTTTTACATTGAATTACGAATCCTTGTTTCCTGCGTCCTCCGGTCCATACGTTAGATTGATTACTTTTTTCTTCGTTGTCGTCTTCCTTTTCTTCGTCGGTAAAATTAGAAGTCTGATATGCTACATCAGCTCTGCCTAAATAACACATGATGTTCTGCAACTGAGGAGAACTTTATATAGGCAAGCTTCCGGTCAGAGAGCTGTCGAACGCGGAAGTCCCTTAAACCTGCATCCTATCGAACGGCCAGCAGGGGGCGACTCTTCTGGTCTGGAAGTCCGGTTCCATTAGGAACAATGGTAAAATGTTGCTACTTCTCACCTGATTTATTGCCTCAGTAAACACTTTCCTAATGAGTTTATGGTCTCAGTCGCTAGTTTCAAGTCTTCTTCAGTACAACATGATGTTCATTTAGTAAATTATGGTTTACATTTAGAGGACAATAGAACAGAAAGCAGAGACCTCTGACATGGCAAATGTTAGTCACATTGGATAAATGTAAAAATGAATAATGTAAATGTAGTATGCTTCAGGGCGGAATTATCTATGATTGACAAGTGCATGGACAGAGTGCGAACAGGTGGGATGGTAGACAGGCAGGGGACCAAATGAAATAACTGGCCATGGTTATTACAGTCCTGCCACAGCCACAGATACCGGTTGTATATATATTGTGGGAGAGCATTTAGTTTATTGATTGCAGTCGGGAGGCAGCGTTGCTCTCCCCCATGTTAGAAAAAAAAAAACACAGCAAAAGTGCACTCTTGAATGCCCCTTTTGTAAATAAAACAAGATCTTGTGCCCTCTATGGTGGTGCAGTGTGCAAGAAAACTTGTTGCAGTGCCCTCTAGAGTGCCCTATCGTGTGAGAAAGTACGTGCATTTGACTTCATGCGGCTGACTTAACGTAATTTGATGCACACTGGACTTAATATGAGCTAAGTCCTTTTAGGCAAGTCCTGCCACTGGGCCGCCATCTTGGCAACGCTTCCGGGCAGCTATTTCTGACTAACAAGACGAGACTCCTCTAAATTGTCTCTGATATAATGCATGCTGGTTAGAAATTGTGTCCAACTTTCGTCGGCGCTGCAAAACGTCATCATGTCACATGACATTAAAACCTTGGGGGAGCCCTGTTGCCCCACCACGTGAAGCTGGTGCCCTTTTTGTTTTTTCACCCCTGCCCCTCAAATAGCCTGAGTCCACCACTGTTTGCATGTAAGGATGATTTTAACAAATCCATAAATTGTGCATTTTAGTGTTCATATATTTTTCATATTGCGCTGTTCATCATTAGAAAATGTACTATGTTTTCCTAATTACTGATGAATGTTTATTTAAAAAACTTCATTAAATAGTATTAATGCATTTACATTTAGACCAACAAACTAGGTCTCTGTGTAAACCACACATACTGATGATAAAGTTGGTATAAAATGTAAATGTAAAATTTGTACCTCACATGCGACAATGCAATGAATTTACTGACAGTGCAGATCCAGTGTGTGGAAGGTGTCATCCATGCAAATGTACTGGCAATTACAATATTCCACTGACATGCAAATTGAAAATGACCCTCTTGTGGGTGAACAAATGCCCCCACACTGTCCTGCAAAATTCCTCATTAAAACGATAACTATGAATAGAAAATGACACACTGATGAAGTTTTCAAGTTTTCAAGATGTCAGAGCTGATTTAGGCATACTTTTAAGTAGGTCCCACAGTTGAATTTTTTAATAATCCAGACAGGTAGATTCAACTCCATTTTATTTTTTTAACCCATAAATCACTTTTCACAATCTTCTTGGAAGACACACAGCATTTGATTCCCTGTTTTCTTCTTTTTTTGGCCAAGGGGAATTGGTCCAAAAGCAAAGCAGGATCTCAGAGAGAGACATGGAATGTCTAAAACATGATTGATAGTGAAGATACATCAATATTAGGCAAACATCTAACAACCATCGACTTACAAAACAGCGCACAAACATCGTGTGTGAAGGCCGTCATGACTAGGGATCCCAAACACAATTTTGAAAACAGTGGGGTTTGACATATATGAGGAAGAGAGGGAAACCATGTTGCTTGCAATTTTAAAAACCTCACAAGGGACCCAATCCATGAACATTACATTTCAACTGAGATCAATCAATTGAATGAGTGCGCATACATAAAAGCACAAAGAAGTGAAGCCTTCATTTTCCCCATGTGTTGAGTGTTCCCTAAGGCTAGTAAGAAGTCAGGTCAGCCTAAACACACCAGCTTTGACCTTTTTGTCTGTGTTCAGAATGAGGCAGGGTTTCAGTGCATAGTCACATTACTGCATCTTCATGCCCAGAACAATCAGTGAAACTGTAACGTAAAATAAACAGAGGAATGGAAAGCTACATGGTTGAAAGCCAGAAGATTCACATCTTTTCAGTCTAATCATCTACAATCCACATTAAATGCTCCCTTCCTACCCTGTTAGCCAACAATACAGAGCACCTATCTGCGCCAAGAACCAAGCTTTCAAGTTGAACAGATTATGGTAAATGTAGAAGATGGCAGGAAAGTGCTAATACTACAGTGAATATCCACCTGCAAAAGCGCATTACAGATATATATTGGCACCAAATGTGAATTAAGAAATGTGTTTATCCTGCTCGACTGGATGCTAAAATTAAGCAGCTAACTACTGAAGTGCTCTACCACTGATTATACCAACTTTCTTAATATGTTTGACCCATTGGTGACCATTATAATATGTCTAATGAGAGTGTTTGGTTCCCAAATAAAACATAAAATGTAAATACATAGATCACTGGATCAGCCTATAACGTTCAATTCCAGCATGTTAATTCCCCCCCACAGGTCCCTAATCGGGGGACAAAATACATGGGGCATGACCTCTTTGTACTAAATTGTAGCTATGGCCCTTGTCACCAAGGAATACTTAAAGCCCCAATGTACACAATTTGAAAATTTCTAAATTCTGACTAATTTCTTGGGTGTCCCCAGTGGTAGAATCAAAAAAAAAACAAGACACTGAGGCTGATGGCAATGTCTACTGAGACCTTTTGGTGTTAACCTAGTTTCCATAATAAAAATACACAATATACTGTTGACAAAACTAAATATTCTTTGTGTGCAATTATGTGGCTATTTTGAATATCAATAGATTTCACCCAATTCAGCTTAAAGGTACCCTGTGGAGTTTCTAACCACTAGTAGCGCTATAGAGAAACGTTTTTACACATGGGCCCTTCAAAAAAGACAGAGAGGAAGATGACTGCAAAGCTAGCAAACATGGATGTAAACATTGCACAATTTAAAAGTTATTTTTAAAATCGTCATTGCAAATGTAAGGAAGGGAAGGACATGCACTCAACATGTTTGGTAGAGCTCAAGGACAATGCGTTTTGTTGAGAAACATTGAATGTAAAAATAGCTTTAGTGCCACAGGGTACACATTTAATGTTAATGCACAGACAAGTACTAGCATCTAGCTGAAGTAATTTGTATTTTAAATATTTGTCAATCAAATACACTTTTTTGGGTTCTGGTGGCATTATCGCCCTTAGAAGCAGGTCAGGTCAGCACAGGACATCAGAGGGCTAGAACGGGTTCCCATTTCACAACCAAACCTTGTCATACATTGCATAAGGTGACCAATGGACCAATATTACAAAAGGCTGTCCACGCCACAAAAGGCGTCCTTTAGCCACTATAGTTGTTTATTAATTGGGTTTAAGGACATAATAATCCTTGCTACTTCGGTGTGCATTTGCATCCATGTGCAGTACAAATAGTGTGCAGTCATGTACAACATGGGAACTTGAAGGCTACAGAAAAAGACGACAAAAGTAGTTAAGACTGAGTGATGATGGTGCATTTGGTCTGCAGCGGATCAGAAGGATTCTGGGTTGAATGCAGTCATCCAGTGGATTAGTTTAATCTCCAGCGATCATGTGGCCACAGCCAAGATTAGTGGACCTAATTACCGCACATTTAGACACCTCATTGATTCCTAGTGGACAAGGAGCACTTAGTAACACTAGTCTGTCAGACAGGGAGATGGTCTAAAAGAAACCAAAAGGAAAGAACAGGAAAAAAACACATAAAAATCAAACAGATTAAGACTGATTTAGAGTCTAATGGTGCAGTAGGGGGAATGTGTGTCTTCTGATTAGTTGGATATAAGATATTTGGCATTCTTCATTATGGCATTGAAAGTGAGTGGACACTGCCAGTGGTGTAGAGAGAGACTGGATAAAGGCTCTCCATTAGGGCACAGGGCGTAGGGCGTAGGTGACTGGGGGACTGGGGTTAAGATGGAGAATTACACTCCGCCCTCCTCACACCAGTTTCAGAAATTGATCCACCGTATCAGCTTCCACCGCCTCAGAAAACATTTCATAGTTCTGTGGAGAGACAGAGTGTCAGTCAAAACACAATAATTCCAATATGATAGCTGTATTGCCTCAGAACTGGCAAAAATTAAGGATCATGACCTACAGAATGTGCTCCTAATACTGAGTTGCCTGTAGTTTATGGTAAACTGAGAGTTTACCTTCCTGTATGTAATATCACTATCAAATCAACTTACAATATTGATCACATTTCAGGGGACAATGACAGATATTTTAACAACCAGTTCTCACTCTCAACCGGTCACATATGGACGCATGCTCAAGACCCATTGGCGTCAGTTTGTAACACACTGGGGATCCCTATAGCGGCATAGTTGAACGCACTGGGGAAAGCCCTGTAGAGTCAGTTTTTAAAGCTGGAGGTAGGTATACGATATTTACAGAGTAAGGAGGCGGTTGGAGGTGGAGGGAGGTCCAGAAACCGGACTTTTAACCAGGAGACCTGTGTTGTTTCCCGTGTGAAAGAAAAAGTAAACACAAATGGTGAATGGTTTTATTTACGTTTATTTTTATAAATGTTTTATGAACTTAAGTAAGTTAACTGGCGTATGCAACATAGTTATTTCAACCAAACCATGATCTTTCCCTAAACCTAACCAAGTAATTTTGGTGCCTAAAGCTAACCAAACTGCACTTAACATGTTGCACATTTCACATGGGGGTGCAACTCACCCCGCAGTATTGGTCCTCGTTGAAAAGCTGGGGGGGAACTGCAGTGGGGTTCCCTGCTTTGCTTCTCATTTCGTCACGAAGTTCCCCGCCCACAGAGATGTCGATGAGCTCGTATTGGATGCTTTTACTTTCAAGGATCCGTATCACTTCTGCCTGCTGAGACTTCACCTGAAAAACGACAGCACCAATCAGGAATGTACTCAACCCCAGCATAAGCACATGGACCAGCCGGTTCATTAAACCCTGAGCATGTTGTCTGCATAGAGTATCATTTGCCGTCCTCCTTTTAATGGCTACATTTCTAACAACGAAGTGGAGCATTAGACTGATAGCCTTCATGCCATTCCAAGTTTTAGTCAGTGTGATGAATTAAAAGCAGACGAAGGCCCTCAAACAACTTTGATGGACTGTTCAAATAAACCTTGTAATATTTGTACATCTATACAGACATTTTTTCTTTTAAACTAATGACTTAAGTACTTTCTGAGGCTGTGCCTGGATGATGATTAATAGACCTGATGAATGCTCTGCTATCTCTGTGGACAACTGAGGAAGTTGGGAGGGGGTGTTTGTAAAAGCGACCGCACCTAAGCACAGCACTAACTGGAAGCACACAAGCTGGCATTTAGTTGGCCACACACAGTTGTTTTAAGGTCAGTGTCACATCCTTAAACTGAAAAAGGGAACTGCTTTTACTTGGTTCACATAATTGTGAAAGTGGAGTCGGCAGTTAAAAGCTTCTCTGAAACGTGTGAAGAACAAAGTCATAGCCATTGACAAAGTAACTGAAACTGAACGCAATGTTTTTAATGGACACAATTCAATTTGAAACATGACTTTCAGGTAAGATATTTAGGTCTGAGCCAATAGAGAGAAAGTGGTAGAGAGGAAAACCTTCTATAAATGTTGCTGTTGTGCAGTAAGCACAATTAAGTTAACTTCAACATAAAAAACACTGTAATGTGGGTAACATCAATGGATTTATACTTTAGTGGGACTTATTTTTAAACAAGCCTTTGTTTCTTGGGTATGCTTCTGGAACGGAAGAACCTATCTCGCATTAGTCTATTTAAACTAAAATATACAGAAAGACTGGGTTTCTGTGTCATGTAAGAAATAAGTAATCAAAATCCTCTAAATGCTTCTACAGCACACCAGAAATTAGCACATTATCTAGAGGGTTAAAAGCTAACGTCACTAAAACCTTTTCACTACATGAATTCCACAAACCTAATAAGTACCACATGTTTGACCCTTCCTACAAAAACATGTTGTGGTTTATCACGTCACTTCACTGAATACTGCAGACAGTACGGATGTCAACCTGTTCTGCTCGATTCATTCGAATATAATATTCTATGGAAATATGTTGCAAAACTTCATTACAAAGTCAAATATTTAAGTATTCTGCTTGTATCGGCTCACATATAAACTACAAACAGCTCTTACTTAAAGTCACTTTTCAGATTGTATTACTGGTTCCTATGATTTCTTACCACCTACCTATCTTAAAAGTAATATTAAGGTGTGGCACTTACAAAAGATGCAATTCCGCTAAAAACAAGTGTTGTTTAGTGCATATACTGAATGCAGAATTTATATTGCTCGGGCGAGGGCGTAACAATACTACTTATTAGCTCTAAACTAGGCAAACTTAAATTGCCATATTTTTATATGAAGTTTGGTTTACAGTTGTAGATACAGGAAACGGCTACATACGGTCGCTACACTTAGCTATTCTAGCCAGCCGCTGCACTAACATCACACTCGCATAATGTCACTGTTTTGGATAAGTAACACGATACATTTCAAGAGCAATTTCTGCAAATAAAATAGCTAACGTTAGCCAAACATCCTAACGTTAACTAACGTTACCAAGATAAAGGCAATTATGTGTAGTCATGCATCATGGCTTGTCTTTTACGTTATGTGTCCTCTATGTTTTGTTGCATTTACGACTGATAACTTTCATCTTCTTTACGCTTACAACCTGGTGAAATGCTGGCGTTACGTTACATTAATGATATAAACGGGCGCTGAGTAGCATAGGCCCACAGCACTGTTAGTCAGGGGGAAGCTATTACTGATAGGGCGCTGGGTGTGTCTGTCGGGCTGAGCATTGTTAGCTGTTTCCACCGGAGCGGACAACACAAACATAACGTAAATTCATTAAATTACAGCCACTTAACTCACCGTCCGCGAGGCAGTAACGGTGGTGTAGTACAGTTTGATTCCCATTGCTGCGGGTCCTTCCACTCCTTTTGTGTATCTGCTTGCGAGTAGCTTTCTCTCGCTCGCGTCAAGCTGGACCGTTATCGATTAAAAGCTAAGGAAGTTCGGCCACATTACTTTCACAATAAAATACATACACACTTTTTATTTTTTTTACATCAGTGGGAAAAAAAATACCGCATAACGTCGGATGTGACTAAAAATGTTAAAGTTATTGAGCCTATATGGTCTCAATGCTTTTTGGAAAAGTCAAACCCCTAGGAAAAACAGGAAGCGGCAAACATGGACGTTGTGACATGATTGTGTTAAGAAAGATTGCGGTGTGGCACAAACAGTTTCAGAAATTAACTTGGTTTTAAGGGCCTCCAGCAAAAATGAGTTGATGTGCTCCAATAAAGGATAGGTTCCCACGTTGTCAAGTGTGTCTAAATACAATAGTCTCATAGACATATGTAGGCCTATTGAAATAGTAGAGGTGTACATAGTTGTTATTGGTCGTTGTAATCATTCCTTCACCTTTAGGCTACTGCAGTCCTTGTTCTGTTTAAAAATGATACATTAAAACGTTTGGCCAAAGCTTGTGAGGCTGATTCTAAACGAGTCAACTCAAGTGGGTATAATCTTTCAAAGTTACAGTCTTAATATAAAATGCATTTTTGCAAAGGACAGGGATGTCAGAGTCCAGTTATGAAGGGATCTTTTCACATGTAGTAAGGATTCCAGTGAACAATAACTCTTTTAATGTATGTATTAACACATGAAACATAAACCTATCCTTAACTCCCCGATTCTTCCCTCTGTCTGTACATTGTGTACAAAGAATAAAAGTCTTACAGGCTATTGATTTTGTCACAGGATCCCTCTCCAGGACAGGGCTGCAAAATCAGTTAATGAAGCAGAAGGCCCCCATCGTGTCAGTTGACATTGTTATTTACTAGCGGAAATTATTTGTTTTATTCTGATAAACTTGACACTACTCTTCCTCCATACTGAGGACCTCTACTGGCTGCACTGTTTCAAGAGAGAAAAGAACTTTATTCATATTTCCCTTTTGTGCTTTTTAAATATTCCATTTAACCCTAGACCAAAATGTAATATTTTTATATTGATTAAGGAACCTACTTTCTTTCCTTTTGTCTTACACTTTTTAGATCTTTGGCGAATCATCCCTTCCTCTTTCCACGTATATTTTCTCTTCTTTTCTTTCTTCATTTTCTCCTCCTTAGACCCTAGCCCCGTTTTACCTTCCCTACCTCATTTTGTCTGTTAAGCTTCATCCATCTTTCAGGGAAGATACATACACACACACACGCAGATACATACAGAGACAGACTGGTACACACATTTATCTCTGTCTTTAAAAAGTTTGATCTAATTTATTTTAGGCATTTATTGTGGGAGTGTGGGAATAATCAGAAAAAGTAGTTCCTGACTATGCAAAAACTTCCATGTTGTTTCCACATTGCGCCTTAAAGCTCATAAACATACTAAAGTCGGAAAACAACTTCCCAACTCGGGAAACGGGGTCATCACATTTGTCTATGGGGTTAACACATCTCAGCATAAAGCCTTTTCATTATAATACATGGTAAAGCTATATAAAGCAGCCTATATAAAATCTGCCAGTAAAATACTGTAGAATTTGCTAAGACTACATGTACATGTTATTGGGTTTGTTGACTGAATGGTGTTCAAACATTTCTAGGTCAATGAAATGGTTGATTTGTGATTTATTCCAGTTATTTTGGATGGTTAACTCAAATTGTAAAGATAAACATCTTCATTTATGTTAAAAACAGATTATTTACTTGTTTAACTGTTGCTTTGTTGACAGTAGGAAGCGGTATGTTCTCAAAGTAAATGTTTCTAAGCCAGCCAGTGTCTATCTGTCCTCCCCATTCAAAGCATGTTTAGTGTCACAGTGAACACAACACTGGAAGTCGTACTCACAGTTCCAGGCTGGAATGAACTTCTTGTTTAGCCTGCTTTCTAAACGTGTTTTATAGCCCTGATTACAAGGCATTTATATTAGGTCTATGCATCATTATGAATTCCTGTCTCCTCTCTATCCAGCTGGCTGGCTTATCATTGATGATACAAATCTGTATAGGTCAGTAGGCCTATGTGTGCTCTGTCTTATTTTTAAGATGTATCATCAGTAAATGTAAAATCATGGTGGTTCTACACAAGACATGGTAGGCATAACAGCTGGAAGTGGTACAGGTGCTGGAAAGTGCATTTCATTTCTGACACAGCAACCATAGTAACCATGCTGCTGTACATGTGTTCCCCCTCTCCTGGCCACTAATGAAGACTACGGTCCTTCATTAGTAGTCTAAATCTGGCATGTACGTGCTCCTGGTTTTGACATACCTTTCTGGCATACAGAACATTCCTCCCAATATGGGTTGATTATGAAATCCAAAAGTCAAAGATATTTTGCATAGCAGCTGTGTAGATCAGAACAAGGGTACTGCAGTACAGTGGAGCTTATTTATTTTCAGCTAACCGTGACTTTTCTTACCATAGGATTCTACCCTGAGCTGTGCTGTCTGCAGACCAATGCCTCTGGAGAATGCATCCACTGGAGCACAGGAAGCTTTCATTCATCCTACAAGATTTAGTGTTCCAGGCCAGCAACCACATCACTCAGCAGCAGCACACACAGGGAGCCTTGCAGTGTGTGTGGCCAGTGAAGGAACAGTTTTCAACACTACACACCCAAAAGTCCAAAGATGTAACAGAATAGTTCTGAATAGCTCCAATTCTGTCTCTTGACATATTCTCTTGATTATTTCTTTACAGCCTCCTGCTCATTCTGTCTCATTCCAAGGTGAGTGACGACAACAACACTACAGTCATGCTAGCAGCTCTGTGAGGCTGTAGTTAGGCCCAGCGGTGCTTTGAACAGGTTTACAATGACAATTCTAATAAGTGGGTGCTCACCATCTTAGTTTGCAATGTTAGCATGCTAACATGTGCTAATTGTACCAAACACAAAGCACAGCTGATCGAGGCTGATGTAATGCCTTTAGCAGGTAGATGGTCATAAACCAAATAATTAGACAAATTCAAATTGTAACTTGATGGTGGCACTGGATGTCTATTAATTTCTGTGGGAATCCATCCAGTTGTCGTCAAGAGATGTTACTAATAATCAGAAATGTCAACCTCATGGTGGCACCATAGGAACTGTCAGGAGATCATCAAAGTCAGTGGTCCTTATCCTCTGGGGACCAAGTCTGTCTTTGCAAAATTTTATTGTAATCCATGCAGGTCTGGACTGTATCAAAATGCCATTCCATTATGTATGGCTATAGTATTGCTAAAACATTTAGTCTTTGATGACATTTACAAAATGTCTCCCCTTTACCAGAAGCTCCTCTGAAATTCATGGGGGAAAAAAATGTTGTTAGCTACCTGTCCGTACAAGGAACCATTTACTGTGAGGGACACACAATAAATAAGGAGGTAGGCGATCAAGGAAACATCAGTGTGACACATGGTTGCCAAGGGGATTCAAACTGGTATAGTCCAGCTCTGACACATTCCGTCTAACCACTAGACCACACAGCAACACCAGTAGTGAAAATATTTACCAAAACTAGTCCTCAGTAGCAAATACGACATACATAGTAACAGTATTTGATTGAGCTTGAGGTGCCGGAGCAACTAGTACACAACCTGAATCCTGTCTGGTCTCATATGGTGTGAGTCTTTAGTTTAAGGGAGAGGACTAACAACTCAACTCCACACACTGCAACCCCAATGGTTGGACATGGGACCAGCAACCCTATTCCATAAAAAAAAACATTGATGCTTCGGAAATGGCAACAAAAGAAAACAACACATCTGGATGCAGATGGGAAGGTCACCAATGACCAACTCAGATAACCAGTGAAATGAGATGTTCCAATCTTAACACACTTCAGATAAGCAATGGGACTGAATCAGGATCAACCAAAGCAAACAGAGGAGAAACTGCCCGATACTCTTTGCAGGATGATGGTCAACACAACGAGAGGGTTGCCATTATTCTTGACAAGGGTGTAGAAAAGACAATAATAGAATGTAAAACCAGGTTGATAAAAGCCAGATTCAATGAACAACACAGTTATCCAATGCTGCGTGCCAAATAATAATGTCAAAGGAGAAGACAAAGACCTATAACATCCTCCAGTACAAAGTGGAAAGTACACCTGCCCACGATCTACTCTAGTCTGTTAAAGTGGAAAAATTCACTGAGGAGAGTAAATTGCACAAAATCACCGTTGCTAAAAAAGAAACTAGAAGCTCAGTATAGAAAGACCAACGCACAGGTAAAATGGCTAGTCAAGAAACATGAGAGAGACGTACCTGGAGGAGCTGGACAACGCAGCCGAAAAAGCAGCGACTGACAAGTCTACAAAATACCAAACCTTTATGCTAGGGATGTCCCCATCCGCTATTAATGATCGGGATCCGTCCCAATCAAGGCAATTTTTAATTCATCGGTATGGGTTTTATTAAGCATGAAACTAAGCCCGATCCTTTGTTTTTCTTTAGTTGTCGCATAAGGGTCAGAAACAGAGAGCAGTTTGTGGCAGGACATGGCTAAAATGTCTGAAGTGTTGAAATGCACAGAAAGCAGTCGAACATTACATTTACTCATTTGGCAGACGCTTTTATCCAAAGCGACTTACATTTGGGGAACAAGATCTACAACTGACAATACACATTACTAAAAGCAGCAATACATGCTGGTAAGCGTTAATGGCACATATCGCATCAATGGGGTAAATACATAGGGAAAAAAGTTAGAGTTAACAAAAAGTGCAATCAATACAAGGTAATTGTAAGGGGACAGAAGAAGAAGAGCACAGGAAGTGCATGTTAGAGGTTAGGAGTTAGAGGTGTTATAAGAGGAAGTGTTCTCAGAAGAGATGAGTTTTCAAGAGCTTCTTGAAGTTAGAGAGGGACGCCCCTGCTCTGATGGCGTGTGGTAGCTCGTTCCACCATCGTGGTGTCACAGATGAGAACAGCCGGGACTGGGATTGCTTTGTGTCACTTGTAATGTTTGCAATGTGAGCATTTCGTGAGGCGGTAGTAAAATATGAGGTATGTTAGTGTAAAAAGACAGGCAGAGCCAAGGGCGTCACTTTGTGTCGAAAAGTAGTTGGGACATTCAAAGGCTCAGATTAGCTCCTGAGACGTGAGTAAAGCAAGAAGATATTAGAATAAATATTCACTACTGTGATATATGATTTGGGGGGTCTGGTGGTCCTCCCCCAGAAAAATTTGAGCATTAAACAAATTAATTTCCTGCATTCTGGAGACGTTTTCTGGACCAATTTATGGTTGAAATGTCTTTTATGTATATAAAGGGAAACACAAAATTCAGGTGTAAGGTGACGATACAAAATATAAAAATATAATGTAATGTAGTAATCAGCAACTTGTTTTTTAATTTAAGTTACATTCTTGGACAATGCACATTTGTTTCTTAGGTTTGTTAGATTTGTTTCTTAGACATTGCATTGAATGTTTCTTATTGTGCAAATAAACCTTTCTCAAAGCATTTTAATTTATTATTTAACATTGCTCGTTGCAAGCAATTTATCAGAACCATTTTAATAAATACTTTCAAAAAGTGATGGGGACATGTCCCCAGCGTCCCCAGTGTAAATGACACCTATGGGCAGAGCGGAGGGACAGAGCCTCTGCTCGCCAACTACAGCTACTGAGTGACAGGGAGCTCTAGAGGAGAGAGAAGCGGGGGGCGGTGCTTTAGGACCAATAAACACCTGCAGTCGCCATGCAGTTTACCAGCAGGAGGAGCTCAGAATTTATTTTTTTTTAAATTAACTTTTTAACTTTAATGTTGAGGATTTAAAAGTGTATTTAACTTCACTCGCCCTTCTCAATCTGTCTGCTGCAGCTAGCCACTGAGTTGCTTTGTGATACTACTTCATATTTACACAGAAACAGGACAAAACAGGAGAGAAATGTAAGCGAGGAAGTTGAACTACCCTGTAAGTTCTGAAAATATGTGTCTGTCATTTGACTCCAGCTACCGTTGTCCTTGGTTAGCACAGCAGAGCCGTGACCAGTCTGAATGCCTTTTAGAAAAAAAATTTTTAAAAAAATCAGCACAGTTATGTAGTTAGTTCAGCATCATTTTGATCCATTTATTGCAATTTAACCAAAGCAAATTTTTACTTTGGGTTCATACCAATGTAGTAAACCTGATTAAAGGCGAATATTTGTGGGCTGTGTTTAACGTTACTGGCATTAAAAGACCTGCCTTCAATACCACCAATTTAATAAGCCACCTTAAAAAGGAGGTTCTCAACAGAGACCCCCCTCTACAACCAATGCAGGAAGCCTCAGAAGAAGACCTGGACATTAACATCCACCCACCAACAAAAAGGAAAATCGCTAAAGCCATCAAATCATTAAAAAAATGAAAGTGCTGACAAATTAAACACAGAACTCTTCAAAGCTGATCCAGTATTGGCTGCCAACATCCTTCTTCCAAGGAAGACACCATCACTGGACAAAAAGGGTGATAAAGTCCCACAGAAAGGTGCACTATCGGACTGTAACAACTGGAGGGGCATTACACTTCTGTCAGTTCCCAGACAGATATTCTGCACCATTATCACACACCGAATGACATCTGCCATAGGTGATATACTCAGACATGGACAAGCAGGATTCAGGAAAGGCAGATGGTGCAGAGACCAGGTCTGCATAAACTTCACATCCACCGTGATAACCCCTGGAAAATTCTAAGAGGATTCTCTCATACTGTGAATCTCCAATGGCTTTTCCGGGACTGGAGGTCAAAACAAAACCAGCTTTGTAGTAGAATCTAGAGTCTGCCAAGGATGTGTAACGTCCGCAGTATTATTCAACCTCACCCTAGACTGGGTCATGCAGAGGACAACAGAATATCTGGCAAGAGGGATCTGATGCACTCTCTATTCCACCCTTGAAGACATTGACTTTGCTTATGATCTTGCCCTCCTTTCACATTTACAGGGGAATAAACAGTGACACTCCAATCCTATGGGCAACAAATTGGACTGGTGATCAGCGGCAACAAAACAACAACAAAAAGTCATGCCAATCCACGTCAGTACACCAACGGATGATTGAAAACCCCTATCCTAACTTCACATACCTAGGAATCAGCAATTTACCATGATGGGGGTAACATCCAAGACATTCACAGCAAGGCAAATAAAGCACAGGCAATATTCACAAAACAAAATCTTGAAATCTAACCAATACAGCTCCAAAACCAATCCAAATATACCAAAGCTGTGTATTATCAACACTACTCTACGGAGCAGGTTGCTGGAAAACAACAGAACAGGACACCCATAAATGATCTACCTTCCATACATCATGCTTACAAAAAAGCATGCATATCTTCCGGCCAAACCCCAACCCCAACCCCAACAACAACCTTCTCAGGTTCACTCAGCAAGGCAAAAACACCAGTTGACCTGGATTGGACATGTGCTCAGAATGGAGCACTTCCCGTAGTTAAACTACATTGGACCCCTGGTTGTTAACGAAAGAGAGGGAGGCCCAAAAAACCATGCTGCAGGTACATTGAGAGAAAGCTACAACACAACCATTAAAGCTATCGGGAACTGAGAAGGAGGCAGAGACAGACTAAAGTGGAGGGACGTTGTTGCTGCCCTATGATCCAGCCGGTAAATGGGAATGACTGATACTCAAACACTGAAAATTTTCTGTGTATTGTTCTGGCTATAATGCTCAGTCTTTTGAGCCCCATTAAGTGTAATGAGCAGTGATGAAATTTAATTTGCAACTTATCACAAGGGAAGCAGGCTGGCCCCTTCTATTGTGAGTCAGGCAGGGGGAATGTGGGACAGAGTCCAGAAGCGCCATAATTCAGCTGATTCAGGGTTTTAGTGAGTAACTGAGCCGTGCAGTATGGACCAGTACACACCAATACACAGTAAGACTGGAGCCACACTGCAGAGCCAGACAGCAGGGTCACTTTATCTGACATCTGCAAGTGAGATGAACAATATCATCTCTGAGGTTTTCACCAGAGAAAGTAGAAAACCAATTCTGCTGCTGACATGAATAAATAAATCAGGCCGTTCTGCTAATGTGTGTGCCTCAAATAGAACTTTACATCATCAACATTTGGGGGCAGCAGAAAGGTATTTTCACCTTCTCTAGATCCTTCTGAGAGCAAGCAACATCCTAATTCTGATAAAGGAGATATTCAAAGAAAAAGCAAAGTCAGAATAAGGTGATTTGATCAACAATGGAATAGTGAAGTCATTGTAAAGAACCATCATACTTCTATGACGCCCTCATAAAAACAGCAAATGCTTACACAATATAACAAAGAGTCAAATTGGTAATGGGAATAATTAAAAATAAAAGGTGAAAACAGCTGAAAAGGGAGCAATTTAATGTTAACGCATAAAAATCATTTTATAAAAATACACAAACTATGAAATACAATGCAATTGATGTCATTTTTAAAAATAAAAATAACATAATACATAACTGATATCTCAGATGTTAACTACCTGACCCAGTGCAATAAGGCACAGATTCAGAAACAGAGGTTTAGTGTACCCTGTACCCTTTCCTCTTACAAACAGGGATTGCAGTTGTTTTATCGACAGTATATGGTTAAGAGCTAAACTTGGGGAACTGAAGGCAATGGTTGCCAAAGCTTAATTTGGCTATAATGAGAAAAACAGACAAACGTTAGACTGTTAGAGTAGTTTAGCCTGAAGACAGGGAGCAGAGGCTGGCACTGACCAAAGGTAGAAAATGTGCCTAACAGAACCTCAGTGTTAGTTTATTAACACATTATATCTTGTTTTTTTTAATCTGTACTAAAGCCAAATCCTAAAGACCTGGATTCATGCGAATTCAAGCAACCAAAATTAATCCATTTTCAACTGGGGTCAATTTTGACACGCAAACCAGCAAGTACTTATTTTGCGTGGGTGAGTGGACGTCACCTTCTGGTGTGAATGCCAGGTTTAAAGAGAGGTTTTATGCTGTATTTCTTGGTCATGCCTTGTCATCACCCTGAGGATGCCAGCCAACCAGCAGAGAATTCCAGAAGTCACTGTACCCAACAAGTATGTAACCCCCCAAACCTGCAATTTGTTATAGATACCAACATGCTAATTAGTGAATTTTAAAGGGACTGGTAGGTGGATATTTGTAACTTTAGACAGAGTCAGACTAATTTATGCCAATCTATTATTTGGACTTGGTTTTGAAGTCAAGCACTTGTTTGACTTTCATCAGAATGAATAAAGCAATTAGCGCACATGCAGCTAAAGTGACCACGTACAGTCCCACAAAGAGAGCAGCCTCCCCATTCCTATGCAGGCGTGAGTACAGCTCCCTGCGGCCCACATAGTCGAGGTGGTACACATGGATCTGACACAGAGAGCAGCAAGATAGAAAAACATGGAAGATCTGATGACTCTGTCCCAGAAAGTCACACCTCCCAGGGAAGCAGCGCTCTAGCAGGGGGTAGGTGAAGAAGAAGGCGCAACTAAGAAAGAAAGCCACCTGGCCAAAGTGATAGACAATGGCTGGGTCATTGCTGGCTGTAGACCATGACATGAGTCTTTTAGCCACAGGACTGCTGTCCCAGACATAGGCGAGTGCTGAGGGCACCACCTGGCACACCTTCAACACCCAGGTCGGTAGGCTGTGGTTGCAGTATTTGCCATAGCAGCAACCCAGGCATGACAGACAGCTGAGAACAGTGGCAGCGGGCATGAAGATCCCATGCACATGTCTGTGCAAGCTCTCATCCACAGCATAGTAAAAGTGAACTATAGCACTGCCATACTGATACTGTGCTACCCCAACATAGTCCAGAAAGAAGAAGGTATAGTGACACAGCTCAGACTTGCCACCCAGTAGGTGAGCTGCCACACTGAATGCCGAGTAGGTCAGGGAGGACAGGAACAGGACCAACAGGGGCCACGAATGAGGATCGCCAGCAAAGTCCACAGTCTCAGCGAGTTGGCTCAATTTAACCAGGAAAACTAAAAACGCCAGCAGGTGAGTCCAGATGTTGATGGTCTCATTGTGGCGCTGGAATAAAGACAGGAAGTAGTAACGCCAGTTTTGGTTGAGTGGTCGGTAGCCGGTGCAGACGAAGCGCTCCCTGAAGTAATGGGGAACCTCAGCGTCTTTTACAGTGCCTGGCATGGAGGGGGCTGCCTCAGTCAGCATCCGGGGAACCTCCCTGATCTGCTGCAGGCTGATGAACACTCGCCCAATTCTCTCCATCACAATCGTCGCCATAACTGTCAGTAGCTGAGTGGTGCACGCTGGGTGGCTCCTGCAGAGAAGATTTAAAGAGTTAAAATCCACAACAGAGAACCTTTTGTGTGTTTCATAATTGTTATATTTTACACCCAAATATACATCCACCACTTTACTAACACAAGTAATATATATATATATACATGCACATACACATACATAGGGTAAAAATATGTTTTTAAAGTAAACAAGAGACCCCCGCATGAAAATAAATGGACATAAAAAGGGGTCAACAGAATTGAAAAACACTGTAAAAAAGGGCCTACTTACTTCATAAGAAAGTAAAAATGACTAAATAAGCTTAAATGTACAATAAGCTGTCAAACACTGTAAGCAGTATGGCTTGGATTTTTACACTTGAGATAAAGAATGAAAAACTTATACGTGTAAACAGACAGCTATTTGACCAATAGTGTCTGCAGGCTCCTTGTTGTCTTGTTTAATGCTAACTATGCCACATCCATGACCACTTGGGGGCAGCAGGTATTCTGTATTTCATTTGAGCTAGATCCATCTAATAACTGCCAAACCCTCCCGTCCAGCTGGGAGAGGAGGTCCATTCTGTACTGTAACTGTAAAGAAACAGTGAAGGACTCTGAGATGAGAGAATCTCACCCTATGAAGTGTGGAAGCTACCAGGGGTACTGGAGGGGTGCATAAAGAAGACCTCTCAGCCAGATGTTGGAGACTTTCTCCATCCCAAGTAGGGCACTGTCCCCACTGGAGAAAACCACAGAGGGCAGTGGGCTGAGCAGTCTGAGGCCAAAAGCTCCACTTGGCCTTCCCCATAACGATTCCAAATCCTCTGCACAATCCAGACATTTCTGCAGGCAAATCAATGAGCTCGCTTTGTTGCCTCACCGAGAGTAGAGGGATCCTGCAGTTGATGCTAAGATGACCCATATCCAGACAGTTGGTGTACAGCTCATCGTAGTCTTCGATGGAGTTTGGATTTTGTTCTCAGCTCTGGACTTTGATTATTGTGTTCTGTTTCTGGACTGCTACCTCACTTCAGGTAACCTGTAGATTTAATCTGGTTGTGCAAATAAACATTTCTACTTACCCACTCAGTGCTTTCATTCTCCAGTTCAGGGAATGGTTGACATGCAGTGATCCAATATTTTTGTGATCAAGCATCTTAAAAATAATATCATTATTCTAATGTGTGTTATGTGTCTCTTTCTCAAGATGACTGAATAAAAATATTGAATTATTGAGACAAGTTTTTGATATTTATTTTGGATAAATTAGTTGTTAGATTAATCGACTAGTAGAAAAAAAAATATTCGTTAGATTAATTCAAGCTTTTTAAAAATAATTGTTAGGTGCAGCCCTAGTCCTACAATCTTACATTGAGCTCTACAGACAGCACAACCTGGCAATCACTGTCAATTCAGACCTTGAACAGTGAAAGGGCCACAGGACATGTATCAGACAGGGCTGTACGCTAACCTTCTTCCCCAAGGAGTACATGTGCTCTTAAATGAAAACATTTAGGAGTACACAAAGAAATTTAGGAACCCAGCGAAAAATGTTCAATTAACACAGAGTTTATTAACATCTTATTACATACATACATGTATACTGCATGTGTGTGCGCTGTGGGACTTTTTGAACCAGGGATCAATACAGGATATACCAGCACCACCCATGCCACACTTTATGTAAACAAGATTACGGAACAATATAGATATCAATAACTTTAGTAAAACAGATGTAAAATAGAACAAGGGGAACGTGTTTCTCTCAGGAGGAGGTTGCTAGAAGGAGCACATGTTGGCACGCTTGTATCCTGGCTCTGGCTAAATCTATATCTGTCCACTGCAGAGGGACCATCCACAACCTGGAGGAGTAACTAGTATAATGTTGTGTCTTAGTACAATGTTGATTTATTTGATATACTGTTAGTATACTGTATTAATTATATCATGTTACTTTATTCATTATAATTTCAAATAATAGTAGCTTATCCCATACAGTTTACCACTAGTAGCTATAATATTAACTCCAGTTGGACAGCAGTTTCATTTTGTGGGTTTTCATTCTTTTAATCATTGTGCAAGAAAAGGGTCTACACTGATGGTTATTCTCTCATTTGTTAAAGCTAAGTACTGACTTGTAAATAATCATAACCATTCATGCATTTACATAGTTCAACATTTCCAAAGTTTGCTGTAGCACGTCAAACTTCTTTTATGTCCCGCCACAAAAAGTGACACTGACGATCGAGCACATAAACTTCATGAAAAGTTAAACATGTTTTACCATAAAGCGCCGATACAGCTGAACAGCCAAACCATGCTTATATGATTCCTATTGTCTTCTCTCTTACCGGTTCAGCTGCAGACAACGCATCTCTGTCACTGTTTTTGTATAACGGGCTGCTCCAGCGGCCCACAGAGAGACCGCCCCACCGGGACTTCTCCCGCTGCTCCCGATGGCCATTACCACAGTTTTGAATGATCAGCAGCGGAGGTGGTGGATAGAGAAAAGTTACGGTTGGTTGTAGTCTTTACTTGCACACTGTAAAATCATGGTAAATCATTTTTTTCCGGTTTGCACGTAGGCCTATCTATTTTTAGGGGGCATGTGCGAGTAAAGAGTTCACACCGCATGTAGCCCTGTGACTTCCATAAACGCAACTAACTCCAAGTGGGTTGCCAGCCAGGCCTACACATCACACATGTGACATGTCAGTGGCAGTCAGGGAGGGAAAAAATAGAACCCATGTTTCCTACATTGACTGAGGTAGCAGCTGCCAAACTGGCATCTCTTTCTATTAGTGGTCCTGTTTTAAGGACCCTTAGCACAGATAAGTGATAGAGAATTTTAACGGTGACATGCCACCTAATTGGTAAGATGTTGAATGAAAGGAACATTTTAATTAACTCACCCCAGTTTGTTCTTTTCTCCCATTACAGAGGACATGCTGCCCTTGCATACGGTCCTACTCTGTGTCTTGGCCTACATGTCCATGATATGTTGATTCAGTACAATAAGGCACAGATTCACAATGTGCTAGTCCTTAGCCTGATCTTACAAATTACCAACACTCATGCTCAGCATTGCAGTGTCAGGTGAATCCTCAGAGTATGTAAACAACAGCTGAGGTCCTGCCAGGAGGAACACTGTTTAACAGGTTGCTATGGAGACATCCATTAAGAAACAGCCATCAGATTTGGCATGGTATAACGATTTTCATGGTACAGTATAGTATTTTTTTCAACCCTTCTCCCATAAAAAAAAGGCTACAGTACCTGCATTAATGCACAGTATATCCAAAACAGCATACATTCCATTTTTAAAATGTCATATTATAAGAGGTTTTCCTTTTTTTAACACTTAAATTACAGTGGTTCCGAAATGATATAATAACAATACATTTTTATGCTATTAACCATACCAAGCACTATCATTTCATCTCCTTCTTTAGCTCTTGGTCTTGGGTCCAGCCATAAATAACCAGTCTAGTAAACAGGAGCTGCTGTTGCTTTGCTGGCAAGAAAAAATAGAAAAACATAAAAGATCTATTTTGTACAGCAGGTGGATTGGGAATATCACAAGCAGGAGGCCATTGTTTAAAATGCATTTCATTTGCCAATAGATTGATTGACAAAATCCTACAGTTTTTGCATAATGTCAAGAAAATAAACAATTAACAACACAGTATATCAACAGGCACAATAAGGTAGAACTCGGTTCCCAATTGGAGTTTCAGTTAATCCAAACATTAATAAGAGGCAGAGCGTAATTGGATCAGACAAGTGAGGTTTAACTAGTTATGTTTTGTCATTGAAAATACAGTTTGGTATCTTACAGATATATCTTGGCCAGGTGGTAGGCTAGATGCATATTATACTGTATTTTAAAGATAACAATCAAGATAAAGTTTTGGAAGCTTGTTCCTTGCACAGTGCACAAAACACTTGCCTTTGGTATGGGAGACTGGGGTTTAAATCACACTGTATCACACCCCTTAGCAACACACATAACCCCTAATTGCTTGCAAGACATGCAACCTCTGGCAAATATAGCAATTTTAAGTCCCTTTCCCTAACAAGCATCAGCTAAATTAATGTAATATAATGTAACACGCTCCTGATAAATATTATCCAATTCTCCCCATCCATATGGAACCGCAGTAATTTTCAGAGAGTAGTAACAGGGGAATTTGACGCAGTGCACAGCAACATGGCAAGAGTAAGAGATCACATCATTAGTCAATGTTGCACACATGAAATTCAAAGCTTATGAGACAATTGTTCAAAAAGGTTATTTCTGCCTCCAGACCAGCCCTGTCACCAAAAGATGTTTTTTAACTCGTACTGTCTATACATCTTGGTCAGTAGCAGGCATTATTATTTCCCAAAGACATATATTAACATGGTAATTTCATCTTTAATCAGTACTCTCCTGTAACACCCACACTCACTTTTCCCTTTTAACTCCCACGCATGAAAGAGTTCCAATAAGACACAATCAAGTGATTGCTCATATCCACATATACACAATACAATCTAATTTTATCAGCAACAGTAGTGAATTTATAATGCTAATGATTTTAAGTTTTGAGAATCAGATTTTTTTTATGTTCCCTTTTTCAAAAAGCACGGGCCTTTGCTGATGCATGAAAAATACTGATACTGTGAATTATTATAAAAATTCTAATACAAATCAGTGCTCAAACACTAACTCCTAATATCATTACGTATCCCTCTTGTAATCTTACGCTTACTGTTGTTGAAATGTCAAAATCCACTTACATAATACAAGCCCACAGCAAATATGACAAATTCCCTTTCTGTCAAAGCATTAAGTCTGGAAGGAAAGGCACATAAATGCTTTTGCACATAGTTCCTACAACATCTAATATGTTATATGGACTTGGTTTGAAAGTCAACCACTTGTTTGACTTTCCTCAGCATGAAGGCAACAATTAGCGCACATGCGACCAAAGTGACCACGTACAGTCCCACAAAGAGAGCAGCCTCCCCATTCCTATGCAGGCGTGAGTACAGCTCCCTGCGGCCCACGTAGTCGAGGTAGGACGC